GTCAACATGGTGAAACCTCGTCTCTACTAAAAATACAAAAAATTAGCTGGGCATGGTGGCGTGCGCCTATAGTCCCAGCTACTCCGGAGGCTGAGGCAGGAGAACCCAGGAGGTGGAGGTTGCGGTGAGCCGAGATCGCGCCATTGCACTCCAGCCTAGGTAACAAGAGTGAAACTCTGTCTCAAAAAAAAAATTTTTTTTAATAGTATAAAAATATGTAGGAAAAGAACTTCTTTTTCCCCATTCAGTGGTAATCAGTTCAGTATGTATCCTAAAACAGGATTTTTCATTCCACCTTTATAATTTCAAAATATGGCAAACAGAGTTGTAGTGACTTAAAAGAGGTCACTCAGCAAATGGGAATCAGAACTCAGCATCCCAAATCCCAAGGGTGCTATTTTCTGTACTATATAGAATAGTATATATACTATTGGTTCTCGGCTAATTTTAAAAGATAGCTACTGACTATTTAGAAATCTTAGTTTCTCTTGTCATCTGGTAATAAAAAAGTAAAAAATTTAAAAAACCTTGGTTACTTTGATGACTAAAAAAAAAGTATATGACCATGAGCCAAAGGGCAATCCATTTCAACACGAATGATCTTGTTAACAACTTTTCAGACAGTACGCAATGATTACACCAAGCTTCACTGATGAGTCATTTTTATCACTCAAAACAGTTCAATAGAAAAGACAAGCCAAATATTATAACTGTAAGAACCAGCAGATTGAGAGACAAGATCAATCTATTACCAGGCAGCTGCAGGAATGTGCTTTCAACCTGAACCCTCTGAGCCTGTTTTCACATTTATTGAACAAAGGGAAATGGTCTCAATGATTACTAATGGGAAAGTTTCTGACTTTTGGGCCAGGACAATCCTTGGCTGTACAGGGTTGTCCCACACACATTTTTTTTTTTTTTTGTCTAAGACAGGGTCTCTCTGTTGCCCAGGCTGGAATGCAGTGGTACAATCTTGGTTCACTGCAACCTCGGCCTCCCAGGCTCAACTGATTCTCCTACCTCAGCCTCCCAAGCAGCACATGCACTGGAACCACAGGTGCACACCACCATGCATGGCTAACTTTTTGTATTAATATTTTTGGTAGCGAAGGAGTTTCACCGTGTTGCCCAGGCTGATCTTGAACTCCTGAGCCCAAACAATCCTCCCCCTTGGCCTCTCAAAGTGCTAGGATTACAGGGTTGAGCCATAGCCTTTGGCACACACATTTCAATAAGCCTCTATGGCCCTTGCCACCTATAAGCTATAACTCTTCCCAACAGTTATGACAACCAAAACACCCAGCCCCCCAACACATATTTCCAAATGGCAAAGTAGGGGTATTGTTGGGTAGATTTAGTTTCACCACCAGATGATCTAAGGTTTCTTCAAGTGCTAAAATTCTATAAATTAATAATTCTTGAGTTATACTCAAATGATAACTCACGGTTGAAAAAAACATAAAGTAGTAATGAATAACTCAGAGAAAATACAGGGTAATTTTAATCCCAGTAATCCCATTTCTAGGACTTAGCCTAGGGAAACCTGTAATGTGACAATTCATGGGCAATGGTTTAGTCAAAGCAACACAACTTCTAAGATTTGCATGATTTGAAACAACTGAAATAGGTAACATTTATTGAGCACTTGTTAGGTGCCAGACATCAATCTAAGTACTTTACATCCTTGCTAAGTACTTTGAAGGACTGCGCATCTCTTAGGAGCTTAATCAAAATACACATTTTCAAGGCCCACCTAAACCTACTGAATCAGAATCTGTATTTGAACAAGCTCCGCATGTGGACAGTTTAAGCAGCACCACAAGTATTCATTCATTTAATCTTCATATCATGTATAATTAATTTAATCCTCAAGACAACTCAACAATGTAAATATTATCAACTTCCATTTTAGATTACTACACTGAGGCACACAGCATTATATAACCTGCATAGTAACTGTCAAAGCCAGAATTTGAACCCACACACTCTCATTCCAGAATCCAAACTCTGAACCATTATTGCATACTATGTCTCATAGTATATCCATAAATAGGCATATTCTATAGCTATTAAAAACGGTATCTAAAGAATTTCTAATGACATCATGAAATTAAGATGATCCAGTAAGTAGGCAGAATATAAAACTGAATATATGGCATGAGCCCAAATACATAATTACTTAAAAGTATGAGGGGTTGGCCGGGTGCAGTGGCTCACACCTGTAATCCCAGCACTTTGGGAAGCCGAGGTGGGTGGATCACGAGATCAGGAGTTAGAGACCAGCCTGGCCAAGATGGTGAAACCCCATCTCTACTAAAAAATACAAAAATTATAGACGGGTGCGGCGGCAGGCACCTGTAATCCCAGCTACTCGGGAGGCTGGGGTCACTTGACCTGGGAGGTGGAGGCTGCAGTGAGCTGAGATTGAACCACAGTTCAATAGCGTTTTCATTATCTTCTAATCAATTATACCTTCAAAGGGCTATCTCATTGTAAGTGATGAAGGTTACAGGGCTGAAAGAAACAACCGCCTCACTTTTTTTTTTTTTTAACCTCCTCACTTTTAAGTACAATTTAGATTCACATAATAAACTATAACATTCAGATTCTTAACTAATTACACAACTACTAGTAGCAAGCCAATTCCCGTGGGTTCTTCTTCAAATTTCTAGTATCTTTGTATATAAAAATATTACTATACAAATGAATATGTCATATACTTAAATAAGTGAACTCAATCAGTCACTACCAGATATAATCTAGGTCAAGGCTTTCCACCCGATAAAATTAGATCAGAATCAGTGTTAAGACTTAGAAAAGCCTACGGATCACCCAGTCTGATCCTTTGGTTTTACAAATGGATTTAGCAAATGTAGTTAACTGGTGAACAAGGAAAACATTCAAATGCTAATCTACATTTTCAGGAATTAGTCCAAATCCTAAAAGGAACACATAGTAGATCTCAGTCTAGAATTTTAAAATGACATCAAATTTTAGCTCAGCTAAAGGTGTTACTATTATTACCACACTTTTAAGGTGTAAGTGGGAGCTTCCTTTTCACTTTCAACAATATTAAATCCACAGTTTTGAATTGTTTCAAGACACTTTTTTAATGACAGGAAATGGGAAGGAGAGAAAAATCATGGTCAGGCATTCAAAGAGCTCTTATTTGATATCTAAATCAAAGAATGAACAGTGGTTTTTCTTTAAAAAGCTGACTCAAACAGTTCACATGCATAGTATAAGACTATTATAAAAATATTTTCTTCACATTTATATAAAAATATTTCAAAACACAAATGCCTTTTAAACCCATGAAAATATGCTCATTAATTAAGAGGAATGAAAATTAAAATAACAAAAGTCTTATCACATTTGCAGAAATCTATGTCACTTGGCTTAGAAAAAGATTTGTCCTTGGAATGCTGACTTTATGATTCTCTAATTTTAAAACTGTTAACAATCATTTCTATTTACAAGCAAGTCTGAGCTCATGCATGTGTATATGTCTTTATACATAAAATGTAATAATAACATGTTTTTAAGTAAGGGGAAAATTGGTATACTTTTATATTTTTGATGGAAATATAACCTCTATGAAGAATTTGACAGTAACTTTCAAAATTGTAAATGCTCATATCCTTTGACCCAGCAGTTCCACTTCTAAGAGTTAATCATACAGATAGACTTCCAAATAAGAGAGATATCACAGATACAAGGATACACGTTGCAGCACTTCTTGTAGTAGCAAATAACTGGTAACAACTTGTATGTCCATTAATAGAAGATTGGTTAAAATTAAATGAACACTCTTGCAGCCATTAAATAAATGACATTTATATAAATATTAACTGGAAAGATCTCTAAAAGATATTAAGTCAACAATGTGTTGCATATAGCGACATTAGTTTTAAAATTTATAATATAGGGCCGGGCGTGGTGGCTCAAGCCTGTAATCCCAGCACTTTGGGAGGCTGAGGCGGGTGGATCATGAGGTCAAGAGATCGAGATCATCCTGGTCAACATGGTGAAACCCCGTCTCTACTAAAAATACAAAAAATTAGCTGGGCACAGTGACACGTGCCTGTAATCCCAGCTACTCAGGAGGCTGAGGCAGGAGAATTGCCTGAACCCAGGAGGCAGAGGTTACAGTGAGCCAAGATCGCACCACTGCACTCCAGCATGGGTAATAACAGTGAAACTCCGTCTCAAAATAAATAAATAAATAAAATTTATAATATAGATATACATATTCATGCATGGGCACATATATGCTTATAATTAAATAGAATATCCCTAGGATGCATAAGAAGCTGGTAATAACTATCTTCAAGAACAGGCCTGGGTAGTTGGGGAATGGGAAAGAGCAAAGTACTTCTCACTCTACACCCTCTTTAAAAATTTCATTCTATTTACACTTTTCAAAAAAAGAAACTTTTTTTTTTTTTTTGAGACAGAGTTTGCTCTGTCACCCAGGCTGGAGTGCAGTGGCATGATCTCGGCTCACTGCAACCTCAGCCTACCAGGTTCAAAAGATTCTGATGTCTCAGCCTTCTGAGTAGCTGGGATTACAGGTCTGCACCGCCACACCTGGCTAATTTTTATATTTTTAGTAGCGGTAAGGTTTTGCCAAGTTGACCAGGCTGGTCTCAAACTCCTGACCTCAAGTGATCCACCTACCTCAGTCTCCCAAAGTGCTGGGATTACAGGTGTGAGCCATGGTGCCCAGCCAAAAAAATTTAACTTTTAAAATAGTTATTTTAAATTTAGATATCTGCCAAATGAAAGAACTCTCAACTATTTCTTTGTCAATAGTTTTTAAATTCAAGATTGATAAAGTCAGCCTTCCAAGGACAAATCTTGAAGCCCAGTGAGTCCGTAGTCAACATCAGTTCCAGAAGAATTAATATCCTAAAGTCCAATTCTAAGCAGAAATACATATTATTTATATTATAAATAATATAAATAGCAGAATTAGAGTGGTAAAACTGAGACCTCACCTGACCAGGTCTCCATGAAGCTGTAAGTAAAGACTTTCTCTTCCCTCTCCAGCACATATTTCTGATGCTGGTGTCTCTACAGTGCAAAGGACGAGATGTAAGTCAGAGGAGGAGGAGGAGGAAGAAGAAGAGGAGGTGGTGGTGGTTGTAGTGGCAGTGGTAGTGTCTGCTCCATAAAGGTAAACACAGCCTCTCTTTACATCTTCTCTTAGCCAGTCTCTTTCTCGAGAACCAAACCTACTTCTCCTATTCAAACAATTTCTGCTCCCATTGCGTTTCATATTTCTCTAAAAAAATATCAAGAGAAAGAAATTGTTAGCTAGAACATCTGACTGAATTAGACATTTCAGTCCTCACCCCACCTCTCTACTTTATATTCCCCAACACTCTGCTCAAGTATCCCCTTCCTTTGTGGAGCACGTCATCTGTCACACTCATTTGTAATAACTCAGATAACTTCATTTTCTTTACTGCTGTCTATGTCTCCATCCATCATCTTCTTTGCCTCTCTGTTTTTCTTGTGTTTTCAGAAACATGTCAAGAATAACAGTGGGTTGCAGTGGCTCAGGCCTATAATTCCAGCACTTTGGGAGGCCAACATGAGAAGATTGCTTGAGGCCAGGAGGTCAAGACTACCCTGGGTAAAATGGCAACATTCCATCTCTACAAAAAACAACAACGAAAAAAGTTATATTAGCCAGGCATGGTGGCACAAGCCTAAAGTCCCAACTACTTGAGAGGCTAAGGTGGAGAACAGCTTGAGCCTGGGAGGTTGAGGTTGCAGTGAGCTGTGACTGTGCCACTGCAATCCTATCTTGGTTGACAGAGCAAGACCTTGTCTCTCAAAAACAGGAACTTTAATATTTTGGCTAGCCACAGTGGCTCACATCTGGAATCCCAGCACTTTGAGAGGCTAAGGCGGGTGGCTCACTTGAGGTCAGGAATTCAAGACCCGCCTGGCCAACATGGTGAAACCCCATCTCTACTAAAAAGTACAAAAAAATTAGCCAGCTATGGTGGCGCATGCCTGCAATCCTACCTACCTGGGAGGCTGAGGTGGAAGGATTGCTTGAACCTGGGAGGGAGAGGTTTCAGTGAGCCAAGATAGCACCACTGCACTCCAACCTGGGTGACAGAGCAAGACTCCATCTCAAAAAAAAAAAGAAACTTTAGGCTGCGCAAGGTGGTTCACACCTGTAATCCCAGCACTTTAGGAGGCCGAGGTGGGTGGATTATTTGAGGTCAAGAATTCAAGACCACCTTGGCCAACATGGTAAAACCCCATCACTACAAAAAATGCAAAAAATTGGCCAGGCGCGGTGGCTCACGCCTATAATCCCAGCACTTTGGGAGGCCGAGGTGGGTGGATCACAAGGTCAAGAGATCGAGACCATCCTGGTTAACAAGGTGAAACCCCGTCTCCCCTAAAAATACAAAAATTAGCTGGGCATGGTGGTGCACGCCTGTAGTCCCAGCTACTTGGGAGGCTGAGGCAGGAGAATTTCTTGAACCCAGAAAGTGGAGGTTGTGGTGAACCGAGATCGTGCCATTGTACTCCAGGTTGGGTAACAACAGCGAAACTCCATCTCCCCCCCCACAAAAAATGTAAAAATTAGGCAAATGTGGTGGCATGTGTTTGTAATCCTAGCTACTCAGAAGGCTGAGGTAGGAGAATCACCTGAACCTGAGAGGCGGAGGTTGAGGTAAGCCTAGATTGTGCCCCACTGCACTCCATTCTGGGTGACAGAGGGAGACCCTGTCTCAAAAAATAAAAATTAAAAAATAAACTTTAATATTTTGACATATTTAGTTCAAATCATTATTCTAAAAAAATTGTGTATAATACATTCCTACATATACAGCTGAAGCTCTCTGGTACCTACCACAATTTCATCCCCTTCTTCCCTCTCCAGAAACAGACTACTGTATTTGGTATTTGTCATTCCGTGAATTTTCAATGTTTGCCATAAATGTATTTATCTATAACCATACACAGTATTGTCTTATCTAATTTAAACTTCATCTCTAATCCTTAACAATACTTATGTTTCATCCTGTAATTTTATTTAGTTCAATACTGCTTTAGAGACATAACTATGTTAATATACCTAGTTCATTCATTTGAGTAATATTCCCTTACACGAATACACCAAACTTTATCCACTCTCCTGTTGACAGCATTTAGTTTGCTTCCAATTCCTCACTGTTAGAAACAATCCAGTAATAAACATGTTTGTACATATCTCCTTATGAAAATGCATGTTTCTCTAGGGTCCTACCCCTTTGCCTTACATCCCTAGTAAGCCAAGTGTAGTATCAACTCCATACGGCACAAATATACCTTCTATTCCTGTCCTGTTTCAAAAAAAAATTACTGTCACATTTGATAATCTAGGTATGTGAAATTCATATATTGCGAAGTTATCTCCAAGCAAAAACAATTTCTACAGGTAATTTAACAAGCTTCTAAAGACCAGCATTTGAGTGCTCTATTTTTATGATGGGCTATTTCTGTTCTTTTTGATAAAAAAGAAGTTTCCACTGACATTTCCAGAGCCGCACTCCTCCAGTGTCATTCTCTACTAATGCCCTTTACTCCAAGTTTCAATCACATCCAACTACTTGTACCTTTCTAAACACACCAAGTACACCACAATTCTGTGGCTTGTCTGAAATGTCCTTCTCCATCTCATCCATATGACAAGTTGTTCTTCAAAATTCTACTCAGGAATCACCTTCTCTATGGAGCCTTCCATATTTACCATCCCCATTCCCCCTAGACAGAATTGATGACTATCAGACATTTTTAGGAGACAGAATTAATGAATTACCTAGAGAGAATGAAGAACTTCTTCTCCTTGAGTATACCTCTAACACTACATCTATGACAATGGGTTTTAATTATTTATTTGGTATTTCCCTCTTCCACTTCTAGCATGTTAACACCTGGGTGACACAGAAATGTTTGTAGAACTCAGCTGACATCACAGAAATTAATTCCCAATCTGTACTTTAGTCCAATTAGCTCTGGCAAGAAGTTGAACAAACCTGGGGGAAAACAATCCCCCCCTCCTTTTTTTGAGACAGAATCTTGCTCCATCCCCAGGCTGGAGTGCAGTGGCATAATCTCAGCTCACTGCAATTTCCTCCTCCCGGGTTCAAGCAATTCTCCTGCCTCAGCCTCCCAAGTAGCTGGGATGACAGGCGCCTGTCACCACACCCAGCTAATTTTTGTATTTTCAGTAGAGACGGGGTTTCACCATGTTGGCCAGGATGGTCTCTATCTCTTGACCTCGTGATCCACCTGCCTCGGCCTCCAAAGTGCTGGGATTACAAGCATCAGCCACTGCACCTGGCCAAAAATTCCCATTTCTACAGAGAACCCTACATCTTTGCAGCAGCCGCAAAGTGAATGCAAGTACATAAAATACTTTCAGTAGTATTCCTCATTGGAAAATAGAAATATCTATAAATACAGCAAATATTATTTTTATAATTACTAAGATTATTTGAGGGTAACACATTACTAAAGAAAGCAGAGAAAGAGAAATGAAAAGTTAGCAGATATTTCCATGTGGGAAGAAAGAAAAACAAGAGTGAGAATGGCTTTATTGTTTAAATTTATAATAACTCAGGAAAACTGATCATTTTGCAGATCTTGGGGATTTAGGCATTGCTATTCAAAACCATGAGGATTACTGATTCTAACTTTAGAGAAGTAGGATAAATCCCTGCTACAAATGAGAACTAGATCTCTCTTTTCTCATCAAACGTGTTTTCTCAAAGCTGAACATCACAGAACAAAAGAGCTTTCAAGTGCTAACTGCATAAACACAGGGACCATCATATTTGTACTACTAAATAATTTTAACCACGGAATAGCTAAATACCTCTAATAGTTAAATATTTAGCAGTTAAATACTGCCAAAGTTTAAATATTCCTCACTTTTTAATCTTTGGGAAAGATTAACCAGACCATCTGAAAACAGTATTCCACACAGTACAGCAACATTTATACAAAGCTCTGCATTCTGCACTCAGTGGAGAAGAAAGAACAATGAGACACTGTTCCACACAACGAACAAAAAGTTTTCTGCAGAAAAGCTTTCCAAAGTCAACTAATGACCTTCTAAATCTTAGAAAAGTCAAGGAAGACCCCAGGAAGTTTTGTTTGTTTTGAGACAAGGTCTCGCTCTGTCACTCAGCCTGGACTACAGTAGCGTGCGAAATCACAGCCCAATGCAGCTTTGAACTCCTGACCTCAAGTGATCCTAAAGCCTTAGCCTCTAGAGTGGCTGGGACTACAGGCACATGCCACCACACTCAGATAAGTTTTTGTATTTTTTTTTTAGAGATAGGGTCTTGCTATGTTGTCTAGGCTGGTCTTGATGTTCTGGGCTCAAGCAATCCTACTTTGGCCTCCCAAAGTACTGGGATTACAAGCATGAGCCATCACACCAGGCCTGATTTTAATTCTGTGAGGATTTTTAACAGCCATTTTTAGTGCATATAGGTTTCTCTTAGATTATAAATTCCTTAAGGAACTTTACATTATCAAAACATACAAGCCTGTAATCCCAGCACTTCAGGAGGCCAAGGTGGGGGGATCACCTGAGGCCAGGGGTTCAAGAACAGACTGGGCAACATATGTTGTGAAACCCCATTTCCAAAAAAAATTAAAAAAATAAAAATAAAACAAAATATACACACTGTTGGCCATCATTTACCTTAAAGGATCTACCTCCTGTCTACATGATATACTCCACCCTAAGAAGATAAACTGCTGAGTTACTTCAGTAGACATCATTCTCTTAAACCTGACCAATGGGCACTTAAAAGGCCTGGATATTAAGCCAAGCAAAGGCTTACAGCAACAATCTAGACGGACTGTTTAGCTAGTATTTGCCACTGCTGAATTACCTAGTGCTTCCTTCTCAAGAATGTCTTGCTCCACTGCTTAACACATCAGGTAACTGCTGGAAAAAACCTTAACAGCCAGGACTGCAGATGACACTGTCCTGTGAGGTGCTTTCAACTTTTAGAATCACCATTCTACTGAAACTGCTAGGTTGAGAAAACTATTTTCCCCTTAGTCTTACAAAATTGCTATCACAAATTTATTTAAAAGACAACACAATTACAATCACCTCTTACAACAAACAACTATACAAAGAGCATATTTAAGATTTAAAAATCTTTCTAGCCAGGCACAGTGGCTCATGCCTGTAATCCCAGCACTTTAGGAGGCCGAAGCGGGCAGGATAACCTGAAATCAGAAATTCAAGACCAGCCTGGCCAACCCTGTCTCTACTAAAAATACAAAAGAATTACCCAAGTATGGTGGCACGCATGCCTGTAACCCCAGCTACTCTGGAGGCTAAGGCAGGAGAATCACTTGAACACAGGAGGTAGAGATTGCTATGAGCCAAGATCATGCCACTGAGCTCCAGCCTGGGTAACAGAGGGAGATGCTGTCTCAAAAAAAAAAGTCTTTCTAGAAAGCAAAAGTCTTGAGGGTAAGCCACAAATTAAGTACCCACTGCTTTAGTTTCACACTTTTTTTTTGGAGACAGCATCTTACTCTGTCACCCAGGCTGGAGTGCCATGGTGCAATCTCAGCTCTCACTGCAACCTTTGCCTCCCAGGTTCAAGCGCTACTCCTGCCTCAGCCTCACAAGTAGCTGGGATTACAGAAGTACACCACCATGACCAGCTAATTTTTAAAAATATTTTTAGTAGACACAGAGTTTCACTATGTTGGCCAGGCTGATCTTGAACTCCTGGCCTCAAGTGATCCACCCGCCTCAGCCTCCCAAAGTGCTAGGATTACAGGCCTGAGCCACCGTTCCCAGCCCAGTTTTATACTTTCAATTCTAAAAATAAAGGTGATCTATGAGGGCAACGATCAGTTCAAAGGTGATATACTATCAAACACTCACATACTCTCCGTATTCAGATAGTTCTGTAAGAATGTGAAATACTCTTAGGTAGAAGATATATTTCTGCATTCAAAACTTTAAAACAATATAGACTCATCTCTGGGAATATACATGTTATAAAATATTGTGAAAGGGGTGTGGAGGGGTAGGATGAAATAGGGAGAGGAAGAATATGTTAGTGCTTTAAAAATGTTCTGGCGCTGAGTGCCATGGCTCATGCCTATAACCCCAGCATTCTGGGATGCCAAGGAGGGAGGGCCATTGAGCCAAGGAGTTCAAGACCAGCCTAGGCAACAGGGTGGTTTACTAAAAATAAAAAATGTGCCTGTGATCCCAGCTACTCAGGAGGCTGAGCCAGGATCACTTGAGCCCAGGAGATAAAAGCTGCAGCTATCCATGATGGCACCACTGCATTCTAGCATGGGCAAGAGAGAGGCTCTGCCTCAAAAAAATAATAATAACAATAATAGTGTTTTGGGCTGGGGGCAGTGGCTCATGCCTGTAGTCCCAGTGCTCTGGGAGCCCAAGGTAAGAGGACCATCTGAGGCCAGGAGTTCGAGACCAAAAAGCAAGACCCCATCTCTACAAAAATAAAAATTAGAGAAGCATGTGCCTACAGTCCTAGCTGCTTGGAAGCCTGAGGTACTTGAGCTCAGGAGCTATGATCACACCACTGCACGCCAGCCTGGGTGAAAGAATGAGGCCATGTCTCTAAAAAATAATCTTTTTAAATTTGTTTGGCATTAATTGTTTATACATACTTTGTTAAACACCCCCCAAAAAATGAATCTCATGGCACACAATGACTACATTAGTTATAACTTCATATCTTCTATAAGCTAAGTTAAAAAGCATTAAAGAGCCGGGCGCGGTGGCTCACACCTGTAATCCTAGCACTTTGGGAGGCTGAGGTGGGTGGATCAACTGAGGTCAGGAGTTCAAGACCAGCCTGGCCATCATGGTGAAACCCCATCTTTAAAAAAAAAAAAAAAAAAAAAAACCCAAAATCATACAAAACATCTGGAAAATTTACAAACCTATGCTTCTGCAATGCACTAAATAAGTTGGGAGCATACTTTGAAGGAAATTTTCCAATATCCCAGGATAGGTGGAACTAGATCTCATCTAAGTTATGCTGACTTTATTATATTTGCCTTTTTGAAGAATATCTGTATTATTTGACAATAATGATGTTCATGATTTGGTATCAGGTATAAAAGAGTAACAAAAAAGAATGAAGTTTTTGAAGGATCTTCGGAAAACAATGAGCGGGAGGCTGGGTGTGGTGGTTCACACCTGTAATCCAAGCACTTTGGAGGCCAAGGCAGGAGGATCACCTGAGGCCGGGAGTTCAAGACCAGCCTGACCAACATGGTGAAACCCCGTCTTTTAAAGAAAAAAAAAAAGCACAATGAGTGCGGGATGACTGTTTCCAATTCAGAGAATCTTCTACTGTACTACTTTTTTTTTCTTTTTTTTCTTTCAGCCCCACACTGACCAAATACTGTACTACTTTTTTTTCCAACATCACTTGGCACAAAATTCAACCACTCAGCTACTCAAGAAAATTTGTGTGCGAGGCCGGACACGGTGGCCCATGCCTGTAATCCGAGGACTTTGGGAGGTCAAGGCGGGGGGATCACCGGAGACCAGGAGTTCAAGACCAGCCTGGTCAACATAGCGAAACCTCGTCTCTACTAAATACAAAAAACCGGTTGGGCATGCTGGCACGCGCCGGTAATCCCAGCTACCCAGGAGGCTGAGGCAGGAGAATCGCTTGAAACCTGGAGGGAGAGGTTGCAGCGACTGAGTCACTGCACTCCAGCCTAGGCAACAGAGCCGAAATTCTGTCTCAAATAAATAAATTAATTAAAATTGAGAGGCAGTAGCACAAAAAAATGTTTTATATTTTACAGAGTTCTAGTTTATGTTGTTCCATAGATTCACTATGTTCTATTATTTTTTCCACATTCCCATCTTTGGGACATCATACTAACAACCTTCATAACATGTAAGTATTGCTCAAACTCAATCCCAATAAACTATTATTTAATGTATTTTTAACATCATATGTTTTCATTATTTTGCAATGTATTTTTGAAACACATCAAATCTAAATTTTCTTTCCTTTCCATCCTTCTACCGGGCAAGTTTCATATCCTGCATTCCTCATGCAGAACTCTAGAAGGAATTCCATTCCACCTCTGGAAGGACACCTAGTTTACATATTTGACCTACAGAAAAATTTCTCTGCAACTCTTACAAATGCCAGTAAAAAACTCCACCCAGTCAGCCTCCCACAACCCCTCCCTTTAACCATCTTCTCCCCACTATCGCCGCCCCACCAAACTTACTTGTCATCACCTTCAAGGTTCCACTCCCCTCTTGCCTGCATCTGTTTTCATATTCTCCCACTCCCCCAATTCCTGCCGAGAAGCCCCGCTAGCTGCCTGTTGCATAACGGCTCCCCCATTCCGTCTCCCTGGGCAGTCGGCCCCGCTCCCGCGAGCAGGAATGCCCCTTTCGGCCCGGCCCCTCCTCCCTCCTGCAACACGCCCAGCGAGTCCCCGCGACGCAGCTCCAGCGGGGATTCTCGCTCCAAGCGGGGCGGGTCGTCCTTCCCGGCCGCACCTCGAGTAGCGAGCCCCGAGGGCGGAGGAGCCGGCTCCACCCGGCAGGGCCCGGAGCCCACCGCGGCGCCGGCCAATCGCCGCCGCCATCCTCCTGCTGAGGTGATGTCTTCAGGTGTCCGGGAGGGGAGAAAGCCCTGCGTACTTCCAGCCCCGCTCCAGTGCCAGGAGCCGGCGGCCCTCTAGCCCCCCGAAGCCGGCCTCCGGGTCCCGAGCGCGGCTAGGCAGGCAGAGGCCAGCCCGGAGCGACTAAGGGTCCGGGTGGGCGGCGGCTGCCGGCAGTCCGAAGGCGTGGGCCTGCGAGGCGGGCGGCGCGCGGCCAGGGATGAGCAGCGGTGGGGGACCGAGGCCTGGGCGGGGGCGCGGCGCAGAGGCCTCGGCGTCCCCGGCCGGGTATGGGGCGGCCGACTGACTGAAGCCGGGGGGCGGGGGTCACTGGCTACCTCAGCCCCCGCACGGGGCGGGGGCGGCAGCGGCAGCGGCAGCGGCCTCTACCCTCCTCCTGTGTTCCCTCCCTAGCCAGCCCGCCCGCCCGCTTGTTCACCCGTCCGCCCGCCCGCCTCACCTTCAAGACCCGGATCCCTCCCGGCCGGCGACTCGCGGGCGCTTCGGGCGGCTCCGGGGGCTCCAGCGGGCCCGCGGGCCCCGGCTCCACCTCCCCCATGGGCGGCCGAGGCTGGACAGGGACGCCCGGCCGGCGCGACGGCGTGCGGAACCTCGGCGGCGCGCGCGAGCGGCCGGCGGCCCCGCCCCTCCGGCGGCCCGCCAGCCCCGCCCCTCCCGCAGCCCCGCTGAACCTGCGTAGCTGCGGGCGCCTTGTGGCCCGGGCGCCGCGGAGCCTCGTCCCTGCCGCCAGGAGGCCGAAGCTCGCGTAGCGGAACCTGGCGCCACCTCAGGGTGTGGAGCCTCCGCTGCCCGCCGCCCTAGGCTTGGAGGACTACGGCGCAAGAAGGGGTATCTGCTGCTGTCCCGGCCCTCTAAGAAACCCGCAGGAGGAAGGGGCAGGTGGCGCCTGCACCTGTGAATTGTGCCAGGACGGTGCCCTCCGCCCAGGGTGGCTCTTGTAACTTCCCTCACTTGCCAATCCGTTGAACGAACTGTTGAGAATATTCACCTTGACAAGGTCTTTTCTTTATCAGAGATGCGTGCGACCTTCTTAAGCAAATTCAACACGACATCGTACTCCCCTCCCAGCCACGTTTTAATCCCGTTCCTCTTCATGGAGCAAAGAGATGAGCATTTGGCGCTCTGCTTCAAGCAGTAATATGGCCTGTGAGCCTTTTATGATTTATTTGCAAGGATAATTCAGAAAAAAAAAACTTTTCAAAGTTACCTTATTTTCCTTTTGTTCTTTTTCTTTCTTTCTTTCTTTCTTGCAGTGATGGTAGTTTTGTGGCCAGTCGGCCAAATTTGGAGTCAGCCAGCCTGATTCCAGATCTTGGCTTTGCCCTTCTTTAGAGCTATACCTCTGTGCAAGTTACTTAATCTAAGCCTTTGGTTTTTAAGCTGTCAGATAGAGATTAAAATCTGCCAAATAGTTATGATGAAGATTTAGTGAATACGAAGTGCCTATTGTAGACCGGCGATTCATAGTAGCCATTATAATTCTGAAGTTCTAAATTGAAGATTCATTCGGTTTCTCAGAAAGTACTCTGTCAATTCCTCCTAAATTTTCCTAGGAAGGCTTCTAGACTTGTGGATTTTTAGGGCTTCCTCTCGTACAGAGGGTGTTGAATCTTCAAGCAATTTATAAGGAGTTAAACAGCACAAAACAGTAATTTCTTGACCTTTGAAGAACTGTAATCCCAGCACTATAGGAGGCCGAGGCAGACGGATTACTTGAGGCCAGGAGTTCGAGACCACCCTGACCAACATAGCAAAACCCTGTCTCTACTAAAAATATAAAAAATGAGCTGGGCAGGGTGGTGCACGCCTGTAATCCCAGCCACTTAGGAAGTGGAGGCATGAGAATCGCTTGGACCCAGGAGGCAGAGCTTGCACTGAGCTGAGATCACACCACTGCACTCCAGCCTGCACACAGAGAGACCCTGTCTCCAAACACACACACACACACACATATAGATGTAATATATATATATATATATATATCACCTATTATCCATTGCTTCAGTTTGCCTTGTTCAGACTAAATGTATGTCTAGATAATACTTTAATTGCAGGTTTAGTACAAGACTTTTAGATTTAAAAGGGCAGTCTGTGTCCCCCATCTGAGATATATAACCATTTGGAGATAGTTTAAATGCCAGGACCAAATTTGGCTCTTGCAGTTTCTGACCTTTTTCTGACCTACTTTCTCACTACACGAGTTAGCTTTGTACAAACAAAATTCCAATCTCCAGTAATCTTCATTTCTTGGTCTCATTTTAATGCATTAAAAATGATTTGTCAATGATTTGTCACTGTGAGTCTGGTTTAATGGGGGAAAAGCTCTTAGTCATCCGCCTCCTGGATTTTCCTTCCACCTTGAAATTATTGTTTTTTTCCAAAGAAATTATTTTCAAGAAAAGCACTCAAAATGGTTGGATTCCCATTTCAGTGCTTACTGGGTAATTTTTCCCAACAAGAAAACTAGTATATAAAGAATAGCCACCAATATGGAGACAAGCAAATTTGACGAAGGGCAGACAAGCAGTGATAAGAAAAAAATGTGGTTTAGAACAAGAGTTTCTGGCTGGCCACAGTGGCTCACACCTGTAATCGCAGCACTTTGGGAGGCCAAGATGGGCAGATCACCTGAGGTCAGGAGTTCAAGCCCAGCCTGGCCAACATGGCAAAACCCCATGTCTACTAAAAATACAAAAATTAGGCCGGGTGCGGTGGTGGCTCAAGCCTGTAATCCCAGCACTTTGGGAGGCCGAGGCGGGTGGATCACGAGGTCAAGAGATCAAGACCATCCTGGTCAACATGGTGAAACCCCATCTCTACTAAAAATTACAAAAAATTAGCTGGGCATGGTGGCGCGTGCCTGTAATCCCAGCTACTCGGGAGGCTGAGGCAGAATTGCCTGAACCCAGGAGGCGGAGGTTGCGGTGAGCTGAGATCGCGCCATTGCATTCCAGCCTGGGTAACAAGAGCGTAACTCCATCTAAAAAAAAAAAAATACAAAAATTAGCGAGGCATGGTGGCATAAGCCTGTAGTCCCAGCTACTCAGGAGACTGAGGCAGGAGAATTACCTGAACCCGGGAGGTAGAGGTTGTAGTGAGCTGAGATCACACCACTGCACTCCATTCTGGGTGACAGAGGGAGACTCTGTCTCAAACTTTTTTTTTTTTTTTAGACAGTCTTGCTTTGTTGCTCAGACTGGGCACAATCATGGCTCACTGCAGCTTCAACCTCCATGGTCTCAGGTGATCCTCCCACTTCAGCTTCCCAGGAGCTGGGAACACCCACAGGCGAGTGGCACCTACACCTGGCTAATTTTTGCATTTTTTGTAGAGATGGGGTTTCACCAGGTTGCCCAAGCTGGTCCTGAACTCCTGAGCTCAAGCCATCTGCTCACTTCAGCCTCCCAAAGTGCTGGGATTACAGGTGTGAGCCACCACGCCTAGCCGTTAAGAGCCTATTTCTTGAGGTATTACACACATTACTTTTTCCAGATTTCATGCGTAGAAGCTCTTTATTGACTGATTACACAAAAGGGCAAGATCTTGTTCCAGAACTAAAGTTTAAGTTCATGCTGGGGAACCGCAGTGGTGAGTAGTTGTTTAATTAATGGGATAATGGGCTAAACATTGCTATTTACTACTTCTTCATTCTGGCAACAGTAGTCCCTCTTTCAAAAAGGAAAACAAACAAAAAAAATCCATCCAAAAGTTTCAGTGGCTAATTTTTGATGTACCTACCTTTAATGGTTCCCACGATTTAAGATCCAATTCAGAAGTGACAACCAGTTGATTTTTTTCAAATCATCGTAGTGCCATTAACATTTTATACTTTGTTTCAAAGGTCACATATTGATGTTCTCCCCCAGTTCAAGGCAGTGTGCATTATGTATGCCAAGGGTTATGTAACTACAGTTTCTGGAAATGGTAAACAGCTGAGACTAACCCTAAAAATAAATTCCTCTGGGATTTTTTTTTTTTCGTGCGAAAATCTATCTGCCCTCACTGCAGGTTCATCATTACAAAAATCACTGTTTAGATCAAGCCAAGAGACAGAGAAGTCATCAGGATCTCTCCTTTCTGTCTCCTTCCTATAGCAGCTGTGCTTCCCCTCTCCAGCTCTCTGGTATGTACATATGCACACACATTCTGTATGCCAGAAGCTTTTCCAGATTTTCACTACATAATGGGAAGTCTGGAGAAGGAAAGCTCATGTCTATCAGATGTTGGTAGAGGAACCATAAAAGACTTTTATTTACTTATTTATATTTAGTTCCCACTCCTTCAATGATCCACAAAGTCATCTTCAGGCCTAAATCCCTTGTTATTTATTATACCAATAGGTTGGGCATATTTGGATATTCCTAATTTTGGTTCCAAATAAACAGGCAGTATTTACCTAGCTTCAAAGTTTGGAGAAATTTTTTTCTGTAAACATTTTGATATTTTCCAAATATGGAGACAACTGAACTGGGGAGAGAATGTAGGATAGAAAACGCTTACAAGTGATAAAAATTAATTTGGTGCTTCTGAATTGAAATTCAAATTTGAATACTATTTGTTGTATTATTAAATAAATGTCTATTACTAGCTAAACTATTGTAGCTTTTATATTTTCATCTAATTATAGTACATGAAGGTGCCAACAAAATTTACTACTAGAAACAACTACGAATTTTAACTAAGTCATAGATAAGATTATAGAAATGTTGCTTATCAAACAGTACCAAAGGACACTTCTGCATAAATTAGATAACTGCTAGGGCCTACACCCTTTCCCTTTCTCCCCCTTCTCAATCAAGGGACTGTCAGGGATCATCAGAGTAACAGAAAACCTAAAGCTTCCAACCTCCGAAAAAAAAAGAGTTGACAACCAAACACGGTGACTAACAGCTGTAATCCCAGAACTTTGGGAGGCTGAGGCTAGTGGATCATTTGAGCCCAGGAGTTCAAGACCAGCTTGGGCAACATAATGAGACCGTCTCTATCGAAGGAAAAAAAATACAAAAATTAGCCAGGCGTGGTGGTACACACCAACAGTCCCAGCTACTACAAAGGCTGAGGTGAGAGGATTGCTTGAACCCAGGAGGTCAGGGCTGCAGTGATCAGTGAACACACCACTGCACTGCAGCTAGATGACAAAGGAAGACTCTGTCTCAAAAAAAAAAACAAAACATAAAACGAGTTCACAAGCCAGGTGTGGTGGCTCATGCCTATAATCCCAGCACTTTGGGATTACAATCCCCAAACAATCCCAGTTGGGCGCCACCACGCCCAGCTAATTTTTGTATTTTTTAGTAGACACGGGGTTTCACCATGTTGGCCAGGATGGTCTCTATCTCTTGACCTCATGATCCACCTGCCTCGGCCTCCCAGAGTGCTGTGATTTGGGAGGC